GATTTATGCGTAGTCAAATTTTTAATTTTTTAAATTACGTAAGATAAAGGGAAATTTTTGAAAAACTCGTCATTTTTAGAAAATTTTATCTCAAATAATATCCGACATGTCAATAAAATGTTTTAAATATCAAGAATAAGAGAAAATGAAATTTATTACAACAAAAAGCTGTAATAAAAGTAATTTTTCTTGAAATCAAATTTTTTCTTAAATTCTTCAGTTTTTCTTCAAACTGAAATGTGGGGTCACTAAAATGCCTTCAGCGGGCCACTGGTTAAAGACCAATACTTTAGAACATTAAAATTTTGTTTATGGGACTACTATAACATATAGTTGTGCACCTCCATTTTTCGTTGCAATCCACCGCATCAAAACGTATGTATGCAAATTAGCTGTACATATTCCCAATCTTACCCGTTTCGGTGAGCTTATATTTTTATTCTTACATCTTCGTAAATTGTTCATTTTTTCCTTTAAAAAGTGATTGAACTATGTAGTTTTTATATTCCGGCTAATGTTGTTGTGCGTTAGTTAATCTGAATGGAATTGTAGAATTATCAGCAATGAAACTTTCTCTTTGGACAACCGCCTAACTTCCGTGTGCAGTAACAATGATTTGCATAAAACTGCATAGCTTGGCACAAGTGACTAAATAAAAGACATTTTAATGGTCCTGATTTCGTACAATGAATAATTTAACACATTGTTCCAGCTCTATTTTCATTTCTGATGGTAATTGTTTAATTGTTTTGTAATGCGTGTTTCCCGATGCAAAAAACAAGGTACATATTTGCGCGATGTTCCCTTACATATCCCTTACATAAACCCTTTTATAAATTCAATCCTAGTCGGAGCACCGTCTGTGCAAATGCCAATGCACAAATTCTGCGAAATTTCAGTTTCTTGTGAATAGGAAATAATTTTATCGAAAATATCATGAAATCAGATAATTCACGATACCATAAAAAATTGACTAATTATATCATTTTCGTGAGTGAATCGGACGAACGCAATTCAGTGTGCTTTTCCCGTAATATCTGTTGTTTCTCCGACCTACAGAGCAAAATTTGAATTTTAGTAGCATTTTCTCCAAAATGTCGGGACAATTCAGGGATGACTGCATCACTTGAAAGTTGTATTTTGCAAATACCAATTTCTGTTGATTTACCTATCATTCTTTTTAAAATTTTACGACAAGCACCCAATATAATTTCTTCAATCAAATTATGAGGTTTTAAGAGTTTATCCACTTCATAGTAAGCTATCTCAGCTTTTTCAGGTGCACCTCAATTGCTTTTCAAAAACCTTTATTTGTTTGATAATAATTTTTAAACGTAGATTTTGTGTTTCGATTCAGGCGAAGGATGATTAATGAGCAAGTGATGCTGGAGATTGCTCGAAACCTCTTTAACAATTTACCACCGCAAACTAGAGAACAGTTTGATTATTTTCCTTTGTAGATGTAAATCCAAATTTTAAGAAGTCGTCATTACACTTGCGACGAACATCTTATTTTAGGAGGTGCTTTTTAAATAAATACAATTTTGTCCAAAAATCATTAAAAACGACGTATATTACCTTTGGTGTGGTGTGGTGTATTTAATTATGGCAAAGCATACTAGTGCTATCTGCCTAAGGGGCGGGATGCCTTCGTGGAGGACTTTCTAAGAGAAACTAGCTCGTATACACTTATATTGCCTTTGAATTCGTTTTAATGAAGTTTGACAACACGATGATATTCATGCGACTCTCTTTCTCATACTCGCACATGCGAAAGAGAATACATAAATTATAACGTAACCCTATGCGTACTAGTATATCGGACGTGTCGTTAATGATTGTGACTATGAAGGAATGAGAGGGGACTGAACAAGTACGCAGCAATTACATCATCATTATCGAAACAGTCCCAGTTAAAGCGGGACGTTTGGTTAACCTATGTAAATGCGATATCTCTAAATACGCATATTGTAATATGTACGTTTCCTTTCCGTTTGTTTAAAACTAGGTTTAGTGTTGTAACAAGCAACATGAAAAATTTTTTCATTTAATCGACGAATTTACTTTATTTTCTCAGAATTCTGCAAAATACCAAATGTTCAAAGTCAGAATTAAACAAAATACCATATAAAGCGCAGATAAAAATTTAAAAATAAAGAAAGAAGAAAACTTAAACCGACGAGATACATTGGTTAGGTATATTACGAAAATGATATATATATATCAACATTAATAAATGACGAGAAGATATAATTCAGTATGTAATAAAAGAGAAAGTAGTAGAAGAAGAAGATAAAAATAAAATCCCAAAGCCAAAGTGAATTTTTAAAGCATTGTGGAAAAGCAGTATCAAGAATATCAACATTTAACGGCAAAGAAATGGAATAATATCTAGTTTAGCCTAAGAAAGAAAAAACAGCAACCACATTGTTTAAATAATCTCGGATGCACCTAAGTGCTATCCAGGAATTACTTCAAAATATAAATCGCTGTTAAGCATATATTTAATAAATACATAGAAGTAATTGTTACGTAAACGAGAAAAGATATCATACAAAGCAAAATGTAAAAAAATGTGAAAAACATGTTTGGCATAGAAAAATAAATAAAAATAATGAATTACTTTACTATACATGCAAACGTTTTTCTTCCATTAAGATAGCTTCATGCAAAAAATTAAAAATAGGAGTAGTTTGAATATTGAATGGAATATGTCAACTCCATAACGATATAATATTAGTAAGAAGTTCTATATATAGTTGTTTACTATGATTATTATTATTTACGTGTTCCGCCTTAAGGCACGGAAGGGAGGGATGCCTACGTGGAGGACTTTCTGAGGGAAAATGGCTCGTATTAACACGTCACACATGAGGGAAACCACGATAATGCCCATGCAACCAGCCAGTTTGCTGGATTCGAACCTCGGACCGAACTACCAGTGTTCAAGGACTTTACCGCTCGGCCTCTGGTTAGCCTTTATACAATGACGAAGACCAAAATTGGCGAGATGTCAATTGAAGTAGACAGCAAGTTTTAAATAAACAAATAGCAGACATTATACCAAAATTCACAAGGAATATAAAAATAACAAGAAATTGACAAATTCCAAGCATTTTTGCAGATTTTTTAGATTTAAAGAAAATACCGAATTATGCTAGTAAATGTAAAAGTTTGTTTCATGAAATTTATGTTGAAGAATTAAATAGTTATCTGATGCAATTTGTTTTAAGTGCAAAGCTATGAAATTCGCGATATGTATCTGGTCATTAAAAATAACATTATTGCATTTTCTTTCCCTGATGATGAAATATTGTTAAAATTTATTTCTTAGAATCGTTAGAATCAAACATGAAAACTCTCACCGAAGTAAACATGCTGAATCGGAATGAATATATCGCAGCAGAAAGGCTCGCGTTAACACGTTACACAATTTATTAATTTTTTTTTCATTTGGATAATTTATTTAGATTGCTTTAGGTACGTTATTATATTTCTAAAGCGTAAAGTCTTATTTAAATATTGAAAATTAAAAATCAGCTATTCTTTTCTGTCCGGTAGCTTTATTCACATCGTTTTATTTTTAATAGGCATGGCAATACTGATGTAAGTTCAAATATCGGTATTTGAGAGTCTGAATACAGCCAGTATGCACCTTTAAAGATTAGTTTTAGCTAATTGGCAGGATTAATAAATCATTCCATCGACCAGTGTACTATCACATGCTCAACCATTGTTAGTATGCGTTCCACGTGCTTAGTCAAGGACAAAAACTTGTCTCGCTCATTCACTTGGTTCTGACATATACCAAATAAGGTAAAATTATACCTATGACATATCCAAGAAGAATGAATATCCATATGCTTAACATTAAAATAATCTAGCGTTAGGATTTACAACTTTTTACTCGTACAAAAATAAGATCGTTGTAAAATACAAAATATAAAAATAAACATACCATTATGCTTACTGAACACATACATAATGTATAAAATTAACATAATTATGTTTATTTGTGTTTTTCATCTACATGAGTATGAAATTTATTCGTTGTTGCTGTCTTGTCCATATTACGTGGAACAACGGTCGCCGGAGCCTACTCCGAAGAGAGGTTAGACTTCTATTTACCACCCCAATTTAGAGGGAGATCAAACAGGGGGAGATCCGAGGGTTTCCCCCTCCCTCTCTCCTTCCACAAATCCGCACTAGAGGACTTTTGGTTCGCCGCATATTTAAAGTGCCGCCATGCTGCACGACACCATACACTTACAAACATCTACGTCTTCTCCGGAATTCGAACCCTTGCCCTTCAGTACCATAATAGATTCCCCTATCCACTATGCCGTCTGGGCGAAGTGAAATTTATCAAAGTAGTCTTTAAGTAAATAAATTTTATAACATTCATCTGAAATACAGCGACCATCTATAAAGGTAATGAATATTTCTGGGATAAACATCGATATTGGATTTCATTTGTCTAGAACGACCACTTTCACAGAAGTCCAAAAATCATCTGGAGTCGTAAGTGGTCCGAGAGAATTCATCGTATGATATGATTAAGTAATTTTTAAATAAAGTATAACATTCTTTTAAATAACAAATAAAGCTATCCCATTACAGTAACATGTGTGATTATTCTAAGCTGAGCTGGAACAATATCAAATTGAATTTATAATATACAATGTTATCAGTAAAACTACGGAATATAAAATTCCTTTTCTCAAAAACTGGAAATGATAAAAAACCTGAAAGACTATTATTTGACGTATTTGATATTAAACAAAAGTGGTAAATTTCTGTGGGTGAAAGCATTTGAAAATTAACTCGACTCACTTTCACAAGCACAAAGATCTGCTCGCCTATGTGTATTTCTAATCACGAATCTGTGCCAGTAAGCTACTTATCCTATATTCTAAGTACAGCGTTAATAAAGCATACCACTAAGGAAAAACAAATTTTCAATATTATTTCCAGTAGAAAAATACGTTTCAAAGAATTACCTGTTATAGCTGTGATTCCTAAAAGTGCTATCCGGATACTCAATTTGTGAAAATCTTGAGACTGATGAGAGAGTAAATAATTCAAAATGCAATCTTATCTTTCACTTTCGCTTTCCCTTTAACACCTGAAAGGTTTCCTAAACTAATTTTCTTATTCTATGAAATTTGCAAGCCTATCAAAAATTCCGGAGTGTTTTTCAAATCGGGAAGTACTTACTTGCACATTCGTAGACTTTGAAGCAAATTCACACCCATCCTAAACTAAGGAATGAAAAAACTCAGAAATCCAAAAATAAGAATTTGCTGAGGCACATGACAACAGGAAATCATGCAAATATTTTGTTTTCATTAAACGAGATAATAGCTTCGGTTGCCCTTATATTACGAAAAATATTCGACTTTTAATTGAAATTAAAAGTAGGTGAATTCAACTGAATAACGAATTGTAGTGTTTTTAGATTTATTAATTATGTCTCGCTTTTAAGGTAGATGACTAAGGTAGATGTACAGAAAAGACGGACTGAAAATCTGACGTAGAAGTAGGCATAATGCATGAAGTTCAGCTATCCAGGACGGTATGGTGGTTAACACTTTGGATTCTGAAATAAGCCAAGAGTATGAACTGCATAGTACCTTTACAAAATGGAAAATTTTTAATGTTGGCCGACAGAAAAGGTTTTCAAGAAAAGAGACTGAAAATTCCGGAATGATCGTCACTTTCCAAGATCTTCTCTCAATAATAGGTGCAATTTCGGATGACCATTCACCAGGCCGTTTATATATAGCTAAATGTCTAGATATGAGGAAAAGCAGAAATAAAAACAACAAGAAATGCAAAGTTATGAACATCTTTCATTAGCTAAATTAATGGTGCATAAAAGTTATTGATGTTTGCTGTCATCATAAAATGTTGACACTTTGTACAGCGATTAGGTATATATCGGAGCAACAAATATTAAAAAAATCCTCAATGCCCTTGCCGAGAATCGAATTCCGAACCTCCCGCTTGCTAGCCGGATGTGCTTCTAACTACCTTACGAAGACATGGCATAAGAAGGGAGAAATATCGCTCTACGCCACATAAAGCGCGAATGGAGAGGTGGAAACGCAATCTCTATGGTGACGAATTATCGTCCCCCACATTTAAATTTTAGAGCCATTTGTAGAGTGAAAACAGGAATTGATTATTCTGTTGAAACAGTAATTGATGAAATTATTGATGGACAGGCACTGATAAAAAATCATCAAAGCCTTCGCCAGAATTCCAATATTATCTGCATTGTGGCTTTCCGTTCACGATACTTGGTATAGACTGGCATGTCAGATGACAATGATTCCAAAGGCTTCAGATTTGATTGCATAAAAGCTTTCGCACACCGCTTACGACGATGTTTTTGTCCGTCTAAAACCGATCTTACCACTCAGAGTGTTAATATAGACCAGATTTAGTGCTGAATGATTTTCACTGGTTTTTTGCATTGAAAATATTCTTTTTGGGCAGACAAAAATGATACGATGAACAGAACCAGATTGAGTTTTCTACAGACACAGTTTCAAAGATTTTGGTGTCCCCAAATACATTCACAGTTCGTTTCCCCATTCCTTCTCTCTCGTTTTAATTGAAACATTGTTAGGAATTTTGTACATAGGCAGATAATGAATGCAATTATATGCGAAACTGCTCTATTTTTCTATGTAATGTAACATGAAGATATAGAGAGAACATGCTATGCCGGAAAGGTAAGAATGCAGAGACAAGTTTATTTAGCATTGAGTAAATGGCTATCTCGCTAATTTGGCGAGATATCGTCAATATGGCAGTGGTTTGGGCCACTCATTTTTTGTCGCCAAATTTTGCGAAAACTCGCCAAACTTGGAGACATTTTGGTCCTGTGCCTGTATCATATCTCGGCGTCCGGGTGAAAGTTGTATAAGACCGGAGAGTTGTTGCTAGCTGTTTAGTTAAGCGTAATTTCGGAGTACTGAGATATCGCCGGGTTAGCTTCGCTCTTTAGATGCACTTTGCATTGAGTTGTGTTTAACGTTCTTAGCAGTTTGAAGTGTAACTACTGATTGTACTTTGTGATACTGTGAAGAATTGCACGACTATTATATGTGGAAAGTTCCAGAACTGTGAAGTGTTTTCCCTTGATAAAATGAATTTTGTCAGCCCATCTTCTGATCTGTGTGCATTCGATCTGTTAGGAACACGTACACACGCAACAATATCTTCCAAGATAAAATCGGCAATGGAAAATTTCTACATTGCACCGTTTCCTCGAATCGCCAAGCAGCATTTTCCTTGATGTCCTCCTTCCTTGATGCCTTGAGCACGTGCCTTACATTCACTGGTGGTTTTATTTTGTGAGAAAAGTATTCAAAACATGATATTCTATTAATATAAATATCTTAATAGTATGAGAAGCTACATATGAAAAGTGATTTAATAGTTTAAGGGAACGATGAATAACCCGCGATCCTCCATGAATTTGGTAATTTTAGATATTTTGAGAAACCCCCGCAAGTCTGTAGGTTTTCTCTTAGTGTGCATAACAAATTATTTTAAGTTTGGTACCTTTCCTGAACCTCTCAGTTTTCCCTCGCTCTCACTCTCCAGGATGCAAATTTAAAGTTAAGTGAGTATAAAATCAGACGAAACGAGTAATTTATTCAGAGCGTGATTTCGCTAGCCAGCGCAAGTTATTAGTTGGTCCTTGCTGTTATGCTGAGTTGCTGATAAGCCTCCTCAGCCATTTAATAAGTGTATCACCGGGTAGTTGTTGAGGTAGCCTAATTAACTTTAAATTAAATTGTGTTGTCACCAGGTTTCCTAGTAAGATCCATTTACTTTTATGATAGCGAAAAGAACAAGGTCTATCAAATCCACTATAATGGTAACCTTCTAAGGATCTTAAGTTTTACTAACGTTTATTTTATTTTAAATCTTTACTATCACTTCTTATTTTCTACTTCCGGCCAGAATTAAAAGCTTTAACTTATTTATGCAAATTTGTCTTGCGAACGCCAAGTACTTAAGTTGTGGCTTTTTTGCCAAGCAAGAGAGAGGAAGGAGTTATTAGAAGCAGGCCGCTTGCCATAGTAGTTTTACTCGGTTGCTGGTTGCCTTCAAGGCCAGAGGTTTAATCCTCTTGATAATTTTAAACGTATCGTAGTGTTTAGCAGTTCTCTGTACTACATACGGCTTCCTGTTAATATAACGGCCAATCTTCCACGTTTATTAATCCAAAGTTAAGTTAGAGTTTAGTTAATATTTTTATATTCTTACGTTCAGACCACAAGTGGTTGGTCTCTGTATTCCGAAGTCCGGAAATCATTGTAAATAGAGAAAATAAAGGGTTTCGTATACCCTTCCTGTGTGTATTGTCTACTTCCCACAATTTATTGAACATAGCTTTAGTAAGCTCCCTGTTCCGAGTCAGGACAGTTCATGTTCCCAAGCAAGTAAGAAGGAACAGTGAACCCTGATAGTGGCGCCCGAACGAAGAAGAATAACCATGGCCGAGTTTCAAGAAGAACCTGTGCTGCCTGCAGAAGCGGCTCAGAATCCAGAAATGCCAGCTGCCGCCCTGGAAGGATTTGGTTACATCGTCCAGACCATGCGCGCATCGATGAAACCAGAAGCAACATTTAATGGAAACTCACCGGTAACCAGTTTTTTGGAAAAATTGGATGACCACTTCATGCTGTATCCAGTGCATGAGTTCCAGAAAGTCACCTTAGCTACCAGCGCTTTGAGGGGCCAAGCGCTTAATTGGTTCAAATGTATAGGCAGAAGCCTCTTGGGTCAAGCGGGAAGTCCCACCTATACTTACGAAAATTTCAAGACTGCCTTAGTAAAAGCCTTCTCTGTCGTAAGAGATCGTGCAAGATTAGAAACGGAACTTTTCAGCATATATCAGCAAAGAATCGAAAATCTCTCAAGCTTTATTTTAAGAAAAATTCACGTCTTTCAAACTCTTGTATGGAAACCGTCCGGATCCTGAGATAATTCCAAGTGATTTTGCCGAGGTTACTTCCCCAAGTACAAGACTTTATTGAATTAAGGAATCCGACTACACTGGAAAAGTTATTTGAGCTAGCAATCCAGTTTGAAAGTAGAAGAACGGCGGACATTGAAAGAAGACGCCAATATCAACAACGAAGCCAATTTGGTGCGCCAAGACCACAGCAAAGTCAAGAACACGGCTACGGAAGCAAAGCGAATCAGTGGGCAAGGAAACCCGAGTATCCAAAAACAACCGGCGAACGTCGACAGTTCAATAGTAAGCCAGGAAAAAAGTCTGAAGGCCAGCGGAAAAAGAAGGAAAGGCATGGAAAGGAAAAAAATTTAAACTAAAACGGATTTCTGCTGACGGGAGGGTGCGGAAATCCGAAGGCCAAGAAAACCCCTCTTGCTTCAAGTTAAATACAGTAATGGTGAAAAATTTGACTCTTCCAAAGATTGAAGTGTTGGTGAATAACATCCCAGCCACCGCACTCCTGGATACAGGCGCGCAGTGTTCCTGTGTGGCAGAAGATTTTTTTAGGAAGTATTTTCCGAAATACCGCATATATAATTCGGATAATACGACAGTGTTAGCTGCGCAGGGAGAAAGACGCAAGTGCATAGGTAAATTACCCTTATAAATTCGTATCAAGGACGAACAAGTAAAGATCATGTTTTTTATCGTAAAGAATTTGCAAGCACATGTCATTTTAGGGATAGATTTTCTTTCAGAGGCAGAAGCAACGCTGGATTTTAACGAAGCGTCCCTTAAGCTGACGATGAAACCAGTTCGAGAAGAAAAAACAGAACCACCGACGTTAAACCTTGACCACCTGCCTAAGGAAGAGCAACAAAAAATTCGACAAGTGGTAAGTGAATTTGCTTCGTTATTTAGTGATATTCCCGGATTTACTCAAGTTACTAACCATAGTATCGACACCGGAGATTCACTGCCAGTTCGCCACAAACCATACCGGTATGATAAGAATAAAGAAAAAATTATAGAGTGGCACATTACGATATGTTACGTAAAAAGATCATAACGCCCATCTCAAGTAGTTATGCTAGCCCGGTTGTTTTATGTAAGAAAAATAATGACTATCCGGTAACACATCCAAAAAGGTGGCGTTT